TTCGACCAGTGGTGACAGAATACAGTCAAATTAATCGGTTAAATATTCGGTTCAAGTTTAGAGATTCAGTTAAAACAGTTGAAACTTGAGAGTTACTCGTTTTTTCATATATTTAGACCAATAATCCGGAATAAAATAAACATTCTTCCAACAGTTCAATTTCTGTTCTTTATTTTTTTTTTAATTATTCGACGTATAAAAAAAGGGTTATAAAAACGCAGACAAGAATTTGAAAAAAGTATTCAAATGTGCTTTCAAAATCCAAATATTAGACGAGCGCGCTAGCGGGTGAATTTTTTTTTTCAGTTCATTGATGGTTTACATATCTGGTGGCCGTTAAAAGGTAAAAAATAACTCTTGAATTTTACAAAATTGGAGAAAATTTGGAAAACCGCTTTCAACCTCCTCCGAGTAATTAATAAATTAAACTATTCCTCAATCGAAAATTTAAGTGTATACGCTACGGTTATATTTTTCTCGCTGAGGCATTGCGTGTGCGTGGATGTGTTTGTGTGTACATCTGTCCGGGCGAGTGAGTAGTAAAAAAATTAAAAAAAATCTCCCATTTTTAATAATAAATCATTTGGCGTTTGACGTACAAAGATATAACGATATTTTGTTTTGTTTTTTTTTTTGTTTTTTGTTTTAAGTTCTTTTCGGTAAACACACAATCGCATATATGACGACTACCGCCGCCGACTTTAGTTCCTATTTTTTTAATCCTTTTTTTTTTTTTATCCGATTTTCCATACGCGTGTATAAACAACAACGTCTATTATTATTGTTATTTATTTTCGACCGGATGATGACTACCTACTCGTAATTTTACGTGTAAAACAATATTAACGCGTCATCATCACTGTGCAACAGGTGACGCCTATCGTTTTGGTAATGATAATATTATACAATTGTACATTCGGTTACTGAACATTTTTGTTTTTTTTTTTTTTTTTTTTTTGTTTTTTTTAATAATTGGCGGCGTTTCAATCACCGCGTGTATACAATTTATGGATTTCTCAAGGTGTTTTATATCGGATTTTTTAGAAAGTTTCATATAGGTATAAATAAATAGACGATACATTGAACATAATATATATTATAAAGTTTAACGATCGAGTGGGAGTAGGTTATTTTTACTAGATAGCATATAATATATTATTATTTATACTAGGGCAACGCATTTTAATGTTTTTTCCAAGAGGGGAGTTTTTTCTTTTCTACCTAAATAGTATTTTTTTTTAATTGGACCTTATAAGTTATTAATTATTTTTTATCTTTGGGTTTTATATCAAATTGGTATAACTGGTACCTAGCTACGGTATTTAATCGTTATATTATTCTTTTGGCTATGGACGTATATTTAATTAATTTTTATAAACTTCTTGTTTTTTTTTTTTTTTTTTTTTTTTTTTTTTTTTTTTTTTTTTTTTAATTAATCTACTCACTGATACAATATGACAGCATTTTGACGATAAATAGTGATCACGCCTTCTCGTGTTTAACATAATATCATGTTATACTACATTCAAATCAAACTATATTTATCATCCCGCAAAATAGAGATTATCGGGACTTGAAAAATTTGTTTAATTTTTGTAGTGCCATTAATTAATATAACAAAGTGCTATGTAAATGTACGTCATCTGTAATTTATTTTTTTGATTTTTGAAATTCGTTTAGGTGCTTATTTCAGGGCCGTGATGAAGGTTTAATAAGCGATTTGTATGGGTTTTAAGTGCTATGAATCCCGAATCCTGATTATAAATAATAAAAGTACTTAAGTGTTTGTCTGTACGCGATCCACAATTAAATCTATTGCGCGTAGATGTTCGAGAATGTCCATAGAGTAACGTGGATAAACGAGTACATGCGTACCTTGTACAATTTCTCATTTAAAACCTTAAACTTGTTTGCGCACTAATTATTTTAGAATAATCCACACTCGTTTGCTTACAAAATATTATAAAATTAACCACTCGTTTGCACAATAATATACGTACGCATATTATATTTTAAATTTACAAAATATAGAGTGTTAAAAAGTGATAATTTCTCATTATGTTGTATAAATAAAAAAGTGAAGTAATGGTTGTACCGTAAATACACATAGAGAGTACAATAATTATTAGCAGAGCTCGGATTTTATAGCTACACTAAAAAGTACTGAAATATGCATGTTAATGTGACCAAAATATCTCAAAATTCCTTTATAATATTCCCTAAAAACACAAAAAAAATGTTGTTTTTTATTTATTTTCCTTATTTGAACCATTGATGTGTTAGTTTTTCTTACGGTCAACCGTGCAGAGAATTATTTTAACGGTTTGGAAATTATCTAGACTGTGGCATATATGGAGGCCACTTGTAAGACTATCGAACATGGGCAGAAGGCAGAACAATTATGTTTAAAATAGTATTTCGTGATAGTATTTTATCGATATTCATAAACATAACGTAAAAAAAATGTGTTTTATCGTGGTTCAAAATATGTGCCATAGTTACATATAATTTGAATTTGTCTGTAACTCTTTTTCTTTTATATTTTAAACATAAATTGTGACATTTATGTTGAAATTGGAGTTTAAACTTTAAATACAAATAACAAAAAAATAAAGAGTTGAATATTCAATTTACGAGGGTTGTATTTAGCTTTACAAAAAAATTATAGTCATGACAGTTTTTTTTTTTCAATAGCTTTAATTCTTTAAACATTTTGTTATTCGCGATTAAACTACAATTCAAATTTAAATACCATAGTTTATGTTACAAGTAATGTGATTTTGCTATATCGTATGTTAGCAAAACGGAGATAACTTATATGGGTATGACATCCACTTGACCAAAAAATTGTAGATGTATTCATTTTTGATATTTATAATTTATTGTTTGTAATAATTATAACTTAAATGAAACATATAATGTCATAGTGTACTTCCTAAATTTTGGATACACATCAAAAGTATATAGATAGTTGCAGTCAACTCTTATCAGATGAATGCGATCGATTGACAATATATTATTATCAGTTGGTCTTTGACCATTGAATATCATTTACATTTCAGTCTATCTTTAAGTCGTGATCGATTTTCGTTCGTAACAATGATTGTTTTAATGTTAATAACGAAATACAACTCGGGTTAAATGGTTGGTACCATTAAAATACGTATGTAAATTAGTTTTTTTTCATAAATAAATAATAATAGTCTATTCGAAAAGAAAAAAAAACGGGCAGGAGCCCAATAGTACAAATGAGAATACTAAGAGATTATATAAATTAAGAGATAACAAATCTAATCTAAAATAAAATAAAGTATTTTTGTATTATTCAGTATTACATATTAATATTTAGGTAAGAGTTCAAAACTATCGCTAAACGGGAAAAGAAAAAAACTCGCATTTGTTAGAAGTTATTATTATTTAAAGCCATGGCCTTCGGAATAAACGAATATTTCAAATAATTTTGCGCTGTGTGTTGGTATGAAAAAAACCAGAGCGGTTATTGCAAGGTTGGAATGTTAAAAGGGATGTTAGTAAATATTTGCAGTATTCGGGTATATTACAAGCGAATTTGAATATTTCGATAACTAGTAGGTATTGTAGTTTATAATACTAGTTTAGCTAATTATTACGCTTTACATTATGCAAATATTTATACTGAACGATATTACAAGGTTTTCGACATTTGTTTGTGATGTTAAAATTAGTAGTTTTATTTATTTTGTAAATGTTATCGGACAATAACGACAGTTTTGCAATTGGGTGCTAGCTGAATAGGCAGATTAACTAAGATATTAAATTAATCGCGCACCATAAAAATAAGGCATTGAACTATATGCGCGATTATATTTACTAGATCTATACGAACACATACCTGTCCGTCTTACACTCTAACGGTTACCAGGAAGATTGTTACCGCGTTTTTAAAGAGGAAGGCATATCGAATAAAAACGTACCCGTATACATCACATTTATTGATGATTTTCATTTGAAACGTTTTGTCGTTAGTATGTTATAACACTGTAGCAACATATACTATTATGTATACAAAATTTAACAGAGGGAGTCGGGATATGGGCGGGATTTGTGGGTTGTTGTATTTAAAAGACATCTACTTTCATCGAGAATTTTCCTCAGTTCCATCGGTTACGTACCCTTATTCATCCATATTATACTATACTATTTATCTCTATTTTAACCATCTCGTCCGTGCATATATCAGTAAACGTGTTTATTGCGCGGAAAACGCACCGAGTATAGATATAATACTTATATGTAGTACCTGTATCTATATCTACCTATACCTATATGTTTCTAGAAATAAACGACACGGCAAAAACCGACAAGGGTAAAATACGACCAGGTAAAAAACGTGAAATGCATTTTACTTGAAAATCACGAACGTTAATATTAAGTCAATTAATTGAAGTCAATAGTAATAAAAATAATATAGATTATTATAAACATATCGTAAACTATATGCTATAGCTAATATAAAGTTTATTTCATAAACAATAAGTACGTGAAATTAATACAGGCGTGCTTTTGGATTTCCGTACATATTTAAAAACTAATACTATTATTATTTAAAAACAATATATTTAGCACACCCCCACCAAAAAAAAAAAAACAAAACAAATCCAGGGCACACCTATATCCTTTGGATGGCTATACGACGGAAGTTATTTGATCGTAGCCTGCAATTAGCCACTAATATTTGTAATTTTTAACTAAAATATATTTGAGGTTTTTTCTTCTTGTTTTTTTCCGATTACCTCATCTATATATGTATACATATACCTATCTACTTTATCCGATCGTGCGGTGCATCGATACAATAATATTATGTCGATGTACACGAACGTCTTCTCACGCTCGTCCGACAGGGTCGTAAGGGTCCGAAATCGTATACGGACGAGGTGGGGTCTGGAACGGGAGAGGATACAATATTTAGGACCACATCGTCAAACTCTCTTGTGATGTCGAACTGCAGTTTTACGTTGACCCGCTAAGGGCGAGACCGTACGTTCGTATCGGCTACTCCACGATCGCGGCCTGCAGGTAAGCGGATTTTTGTGTTGCATATTATTGTTATTTACTTTTTCGTTTCTTCACCGTAAAACACGCTTATGCATTATAATGCACTAGCTGCGTTTCTCGGCTTCGCCCGCGTGCAGTTTTATAACGAAAATACGATTGAAACAATAGAGTTTGTATATTTAGGCGTGTTTTGGCGATGTGATTTTAGCTGAGCGGTTTGCTGCGTTATTATTATTCGTTTGCGATATCGCCAATCCGTTTCTTCGACTGTACAGTATATTAGCAACGGGTAACCGAGAACAGTAAACGTAGGTTTTAATTGTTTCGCCGATCTCGGCCACCCGGTCGTCGAAAAACGCATTTAGTCATCAAACAATTGAACAGCGAATAATAACGCCAAAACGGGCTGTTCGCTAAACTATTCAGTCACCAGGCTGTTCGAAAATGCACTGTCAAAACATTCGGATCGATGCACTACGTATTGATGGATATAATACGTTTTTTGTTCGCGTCACCGTATCATCGATTTTCGTTTTGGGTTAAAAAACTTTAAATTTTTCTCCGTGCAAACTCGACATTCATTTTCAACCGCTTGGTGGTGGCATTTTGAATTTCACTTTCTTAGCGGTTTCCTCCACATGCGCGAAATTTCAAGTTTATAGACCAATCGGTTCGGCCTTTATATGAAAAAAAAAAAAATGTTTTGCCCGTGAACACGGAGGTTAGGTCGCGTTAGGTTTGTCGAGGTTAATGGTGGGATTCGGATTTTTCGTTTTTAATCTATTCAATTTTCCCGAACGTCTCGTATTTCCGAGCGCTCGGTGCGCCGACGTACGTCGTGTATACTCTCGAAGCTGCTGGGGCCCATTTAAGAGAACGTCCGACCGGCATTGTTTATGCCAGTAGTCGAATTAACATAGCGAAATTGCGTTGCTTCGAACGTGAACTGTGGCGTTCGGGTTGAAACTGGAGTATGGGCATGCACTGACGAAGTTTAAAGACCGGGATATTTCCGCGTGCGTAGATTTTTTTCTGAAAAAAACATGTCGCGCCGAAAATGTTACGGCCATGTGTGCGGGCTTCAGCGTTTCTATACGTTTCGTTATTATAGCGTTTGATTTCCACCTAAACGCCGCAGCATACGTCCGCGGCAACGCAATCGTTTCGCCGTAGTTTATATGCGTGTTGGCGTTGGACCGAGACGCGACTGCGCCGTCCTCTTAAAAATCTGTATTTGTTTATTGGCCGTGCCGCGGCGTTTGTTCACGTCGCCGGGTTCACGATAACGTAAATCACGGCGTTAGTGTTATGTAGGTATAAAACGACGGATAAAACGCCAGATACGAGCGCTGTATAAACCGTGGTGAACGTTTCATAAGTGTCCGTAATAATGGTACGTGTTATAATAACTAACGTCTCCGCGCGGCACGGCACTTGGGTTTATAGATTGTACCTATATAATAATATTATTGTTGTTATTGTCGGATCGACGAGCCGAGTTTGGGTATACAATTTTTTTTTTTTTTTTTCTATGTCCCGCGTTGCAGCGCAGACGGTCGTGCGTTGTCGCGCGCATAATAAAAGAATTTAGACGTATCTGATGTGCGGTGCAGTGTTTGTCGACGGCGGCGGAGAGAAAAAAAAAAGACACCCAAACAAACAAACCACCACCGGAAAAAAAACAAAAAAAACAAATGAAACGAAAAAATAAAAAAAAAAGAATATTATTATTATAAATCTAAGGATTTTTCAAAGAATTCGCCAGATGTGGAAAAAGATAGGCAAACAGGCACTATAGACACACATACATACACACACACACACACGCACACACACGCACACACGCGCACACGCACACACGCGCATACGCAAGGTTTATGGTTAAAAAAAAAAAAAAAAATACTCTGCGTCTCTCCCATTGTACAGTTATGAGACCGCCGCCGCAGACTTTTTGACCCATCTGCAGCAGCCGACCGGTATATTTAGACACGAATATGTATAATATGCGCTTTTTTTTTTTTTTTTTGAATTATTTACTTGTTTAGGTATGACGAAAAATGTCGGGGCGCGTTATTTCATTATTATTTTCACACGCGGTTGCACGGAAAAATGCAAACCATCCACCGGCGTGCACGATTATTTTACCGCCGAATTTCGTTTCTATATTATTATTATACATTACGTTTCGGGTTTTTTTTTTTTTTTTTTTAATTTTATAACGTTGTAAAATACCGAGTTTGTATTAAATATTCAAATAATTTTCGTCTTCGTATACATACTTAACGCGATCGTTCTTTGCGTTTAGGTACCCAAGACAAACCGCCGTCTGCTGTTAAGTATTTATTTATTATTGTTTGTTAGGGGATCATTTTGGTAATATTTTTTTTTTTTTACAATTTCGACTAATTTTCGGCCGTTATAGTAACGATACCGATTTTTGTTTAAATATACTGAGTTTAAGACAATATATTATTTAACATTATATTAACGTTATATTATAACATTTTAAATCCTGAATGTAATGCTGAAGAAGCCATTCGTTTTACCAAAACGCGTGGTTTTTTTTTTTTTAGTACGTTTTCGATGCTCAGTGATTCCGTTCAGTCGTACTTTTGTTACTGAAAACATTTTTAAAAATTCTCAAATGTTTTTCTAAATCATAAAAATAAACCCAAAAAATACAACAGTTACATTCTTGGACCTTGGATATTATTACCTCCTCCACTCAGAATCATTTTTTCACGGAACAATGAACATAAACTAAATTACCCCTATATCCTATATACTTTCAATTCCCACCCGCAATAGCAGTGGCTTATCTATGGTGAGTACTGCTTTATCGGTACAGTTATGGATATCATATAATATGTAATATAAAAGTCACGCGTACGACGAGTTTAGGTGCGATGCACTCTGAAACTGCTCAACCGATTTGAATAAGATGATGTTCAATGTGCGTGATTTGGTCCAACTTAAAAGATAGGATAGTCTTTAACGTTCCATTCTCAATCCCGCGAATTATCTAGGGATTTTTAGGTATTTTTTATACAAATATCTAATTGTCTTCAAAAACGTGAAATAGACGTACGGGAAAATCGCGTACAGTTTTCCGGGGGTGTGCGCGCTGTTGGCGTAAGCGCGCTGGGGATGTTGTGATAACACGCGCGAGCATTGGATCGAACCGCGAGAGTATGCTATCATCGCGCACAGCACGCCCTGTATATGCACGCGGAAACGCCGGCGGGCACCGAAACCCGCGTTTCGCGATGCGCACGGGCCTCAACGATTGTACCCGGCCGGAAAGGGTACGGACCGGCGCGGCGGCCCGAGGGGTCCGGTGGCGTCGTCCAGTTCCGCGGAAACCTTCGGCGGTCCGGACTGCCGCCGCCGTCGCGTCCGTCACGAGCGGGCGAGAGAAAAAAAATAAAACAAAATACGCCGGCCGATTTACCCGACCAGACGCGTCGTACGCGTCGTCGCGCGCATCCGTACGCGCATCGTATTATTCTCGTTTTCGGGGGATCGGGGTGGCGCGTCGCCGCCGCGTTAATCCGCATTCCACCGCCGGTCCTCTCACCACCCCTCCCCTCACGGTATCGCTCGCTCACTCCGCGCAGTACCGAATTACCGTCTTCACCGTATAATACCCTTTTCTCGGCACGCACACGTCGCGCGAACACGACACGAAACGACACTGTGTGCGCGCGCGCGCTTGTATATCCATTGTACGTTCCGTACGTACACTCACCCCCCGTGCTCCCCCCCACCCTCATTTGCATAACAATTTCCGACGGTTTCCCCGGGCTGTATACAATATAATACGCGGTACTATGAGACCTCTCCTTTTTTTTTTTTTTTTTTTTTTTTTTTTATTATCAATATACATAATACGTATACATTATAATACGCACGTACGCGATACAATAAAAACGATATTAATAACGTCCCCTGAGACGGCGCGGACGACGTTTTGTCACGCGCGTTACAATGCGCGGTACGAGTATTATAAACGAGCCGGGCGTCGTTATAATTTATCGCCCGGGCCGCGTGAACGCCGTACACGCACGGTACGGTATCGCACAGCCGCCGCCGCCGGCGGTGGGGGGGGGGGGGTGGTGGTGAGGGAGGCGTACGCGATAGGGGCGGGATTGGGATGGGGGTTCGACCGCCCACCCATAGGCTTTCTTTTCTTTTTTTTTCGACTCGCGCACACACACGCCGCCGTATAGGATTACTACCGTTAAAAACCCGTCGCGCGCGCGATTTACGGACCCGCGACAACACGCGGCCGTCGAATCACGAAGCAACCGCGGCACCGAGTCGCGGTCCGCAGGTTTTACGGTTTCGGTGACAACGTTCGCCCGGCACTGCGGGTCGCTTGCGCGGGTCGTTGAAATTTCGGAGATCGACTGTACCGGTGTGCGAATTCAAACGTTTCGAAAGTGTGATGTCCGCGCGACTAAATCTCGTGCGTTGCGATCGGACAGCCGTCATCGGATCACCGTCGGTTTTTCGTGCGGTTGAAAACCGTTCCGCGCGCTGCGAAATCGCATCGTGCTACCGAACCTTATCGCGTCGACCCGTTTTCGGTTAACGTGAACGTGTAGAACTGTCTAACCGCGCTACGACGACGCGTTCCGGCGGACAATCTCCCCGTAGTATACCGTTTAATTTTCTGGTTTTTTTTTTTTTTTTTTTTTCTTACACCATATTTCTAAGAGTCTGTTTCCGTGTTTTCAGCGCGTATTCGCGTGCGGTACGTTCAAACGTTATCGCGGCGTGCACACACGTCCCCGCCCCAATTGTTATCATCAATCGTTTCACAATTATTTATTTGTTATTTCAGCGTTGCGGCGGAACACGACTTATACTGCCGCGTTTCGCGGGCGAACGGAAAACCGCACCGGACAAATGACGAACAATGTGAACGTCGCGCGTTTGGACGCCGGGGTCTCGCTGCGGTGCTGCTGCAACATACTGGCGGCGGCGGCGATCGTGTTCGGCCCGTCCGCCGCGGCGGCCGGCAAAACGGCCGACGAGCCGTTTAGCGTGTGGTTCCGCGCCGAACCCGGTCTACCCCGCCGCAAAGACATGCGGGAAGACAAGCTCAACCGGCTCATCGGATTGGATTACGACCCGATGTGGATGAGCAAAACGCCCGTCGTGTCGGTAATAAAACATAAGATATTGTAAATATCCCGTAGACCCTACGCGGAGCAGAGCGTGGTCGGACGCCTGTGTGGTATGGTGCCGGGAGGGGGGGGGGCCCCGACAAATCTAAAAGCGTTTTTCGACTGACGACAAATCGAACACATTTCTAGTCGTTATCGAATTTCATTTATTTAGCGGCGTCGGCTACTTTACGAATTGAAAGACTCCCAGCGACGACCGGACGAATCCAATTTTTCAGAAAGTCGGTTTTTGGCGAATTTCGAATAGACATTTCCTCCCTCCCCCTCCCCAACCATTCAATAGTGTGCAAGAACAGGACCGATTATTGATACACGCGGAGGTATAGGCAAAATTAATTTTTAACTGAGCAGCGGTTACTCATGAAGCATATTTTCTTTTTTTGATGTTGTTTTAGTGAAAATGATTTGATTTTTTTTTTCCAACAACGTTTTTTTAATATTGTTGAATTTTGTTTCGCGTGCGGAAAATGAAACCGCACTAAGTTTAATTGTAAAATAGTTTTATTACAAAACTATATAAAACACGTATATACACTGAATGTTTATTTTTATACAAATAATTTACATTTTACTCGCGGTCCAGATAAAATTACCACGCGGGCCATATTAACTAAGACGCGTAGATGAATTTCTATATGACATAATTAAATATTGAACGGAAATAGCGTGTTTCTCTAAATGCAATAGTATCTCAAAATAAAACTGCACTATTGCATAAAAATGAATATAAATAGTTAGTGTATCACTAAATTAATGAATTAATAAAAAAGTAAATTCGGTCATAAAACGATTATATTTTTTTCAAGTTTAAACATGCAATTTCGTTTATAAACTTGAAAACTGCAAAACTGTAATGATGACAGACAGAACACTTTTCGTTTTGCAGGTATTTTAAAACCACTGAAATCTTTAAACTCGTTGTTCTGAAAACGTGTTTTTCCGAGTTACAACACTACCGTTCTGATAGTGCGATATTTTGACGGAGATAAATAATATTATATTGAACTTATAAGGTAAATATTCTTCAGCACTAAAATACGTGTTTGTGTGAATAATTACGCGCGCACACGGATTTTACGGTTTTATAGAATCTAATGTTAATTTTACGCGAATACGTGAAACTGTGTACACGGGAAAATAGTCGGGGAACTGTAATAAAATGAACTAATAAAAATGTTGTACAAAATACTCACACGCAAATCTAATACATAATATGGTTGAGGATAAAAGTGTTTTTGTTGAGCCGAATTTTGCACGGTAATATTATTATATGATGTGGTACCGTCAAGGTTAAGCGCATTTAGACATTAAAAATCTAATTTAATTTAAATATTAACCTCCTGATTTTCAATTAACTATTAGTTGTGTTATTTTTTATATCAACTTAGTAAAAAAATGTAAACGAGCTGATTTTGAATGAAGCCGCGTTAGGCCAATTCAAATTTCTTTTGATTTGAAAACAATTTGTATTGAATTAACAAACAATCCGAGACACTATTCAAGTATGCACCGTCGTATGGATCAGTAGTCTTCAACCGGTGGGTCGCGACCCATTTTCGGGTCGCGTAAGCTTTTGAAATTGGGTCGCGATAAGTGTTCTTTTCAAAATACAAATTAAGTTTGTACAATTATACAAGGTATACACAAGTAATTGTTTACACTATAAACAATTATAACAATTCGTTTTTATTCAATAATGTATGGCGTTCCGAGTTTAAAATTAATACGATTAAAAATACAAAACTTAACTTCACTCAGTTATGATTAATAAAACAATTATCGTTTAACGTGTCTAGTTGACTGATTATTAATTTTTTCAATTTGTCCAATTTATTTTCAACGCCATCTTGTATTACCACGTCATACAAAACACTTTTATAAACACTTTTGGTTTTCTACTGTTATCGTCCAGATTTTACTTCCCAATCAGCTGCAGTATGCGCCAAACATCAACAGTTCGCAATCGATTCTCTCTTACAGTGTGTATGTTAATATTCCTCGGCGTGTATAGCCAAACATTTGTTTGTTCAGAGTTTTTATCGCTTGGAAAATGCATTTAACTAACATTAATAATCACGCCATAGCTAAATATATAAATTCATCTCTTTGTTCTATCTACTGGTTGACACCGACATGTGTACCCCGGCTTTTGTATTGTTTACAAACTTTCACATATTAAGGAAAATTCACTAAGCGTGCTCAGCGCTCATCCCATTGTTTCGGTTAAATTGTACATGTATTCAAATTCTGATTTTCGAAATTTTTATGCATAGTTAAAGCCGACGTTTTCGAATACTTAGATTTTCCACAAACTAACCCCGCCGCAGGATACATCTTAAACGTTGTGAAAAATCCAAGTATACGAAAATATCGTTTTCAATTACATTTCAAATTTCCAAAACTCAGAATTTGAACACGTGTAAAATTTAACCGAAACAACGGATGAGCACCCGAGCACTCTGTATACATATTATATAACATTACTTTAAAATCGAATGTAAATATAATGTTCTAGTCGATAAATTGTCATTATTTTTCTCCGGACGATTTCTTATATATCCCCATATGTATTATACTTCCAGATTTGAAATATCCCCTTCTGCCCCGCCTTCACACGAATGCCACCGTACTACGACATTTTATTTTATTAATTCCCTAGCTCAACACCGTCGCTCGTTCATTCCTGTACACACCGCCGTCCGTCCGGAAACCGTTTAAATTTCTCCGTCCGCCTTCGATATTCTTCCGCCCTCCGGGGCAACGCAACGGTCCCGAAACGCGCCTTGCGGCTACCCGTGAGACGTCGGGTTTTTCGGGCGATTTTCTCGACCGTGTCGAACCTATCGAGAGCGCGCTACGGCACTGTCCAATAATAGTAAAATCCGCGGATCGACTCGGACGCGGTAAAAAGCATAAAAAAAAAAAACAAAAAACAAAAAAGAAACGTCGCGCGATCGTCGAACCGCCGCCGCCGCCGCCGAGACGTGTTCAAATGATATTCCCGCCCACGCGAGACCGTTAAGACCGCGGCGGACGAAAATTCGATTGCGATCGCGTCACGACGTCGCGCCGCGCGGCCGGCTTACACATTGTTGCGATATTCGTTACGCGTCCCCTTGCCAAACGCGGAAAACCGCGCGCGCGCGCGCTTACGGGCACGCGCGGGTCGCACTTGTACGGTTTACGGTCGCAATCTCACGCGGTTGTTTGTTTTTTTTTTTTCGTACGACGGCCGCGTGCGAGCACCGAGCGAATACGAACGCGGACTACGCGGGAATGCGACGGGGTGTGACTGGCGCGCGGCCGTCTCGTTTTATCATTCCGCGTGCGCTTTTACACGCGACGGTTACGTTTTTGATTTTTTTTTTTTATTGGAAAATTCCGAAAAACGCCGCCGACGGATCCGTTTTGATTTTCACGCGCGACGTGGTAGGCGATACCGGCCGGTTTTCGTTACCCGGGGTTCCGGACGGGTCCGTCGGGTATGTCGCGCCGCGCGACCGTGGGTGTGCCCCGCGCTAGTCGCGCGGTGACGTTAATCCCTATGTTTATAATACGAAAACCGCCGTCGCCCCCCCCCACTGCCCCCCCACTGCCCCTCGAAACACCGCCGGCGCATTCCGTCGGTGTACCCGACCGCGCGTCACTGCGCCGCCGCGCTCTGTACGGGATTTGTCCGCAGCGCTTGACGATTTCCTACGGGTAATTCGCGTGATGCACGGGGAAATTGTCGGATCCCCTCCCCCTCCCCCCGTGGACGCGCACGCCGTAAATTATAATATTAAACGCGCGTTACGTACGACAGCTTTTCGTGAAATTTAATACCGCGGAACGCCGAACGCCGTACCGTCGGTCCCGGGGCATAAATCAAGCGTTTAGTATTTATCATTTTTTTTTTTGATAATTTCCGTAACCGATTTTTTCCACTTTATTCGTCGGTGTTAATCGCATGCGCGCGTGTGTACGTTATAACATGTTGTAAATTGAAATGTCTCCGATAACAACAGGACAAAACACGTGCAAGCCGTATAATCATACGGGTAAAGCCGTTTTGGAACGGTTGCGTTTCGGTTACGTCGTCATTTAGTAATTCGGTAATTTAAAAAAAAAAAAAAAAAAATCAATCAAACAAACATCGCGATTAAAATTCTCGTATGTTATCGTATAACATTAATTCACATCCGACAAAAAACGAAATCGTTGATAATATTTATTTTTTTTATAATTTACATTTGTACAACAGTAAAATAGGTTTAATGTTTTTTTTTTTTTTTTTTTTTATAACATAGTAATATTTCCGATTAATTTTTTTTTGTCTACCGGTAATGTTCGTCTAAACGTATTAGTCAGGTGCTGAAAAACAAAAAAAAAAAAAAGGCGAATAACATCGACGTTATATAATATTCTGAGGGCTATGTGATCGATTGACTCGTCCGGTTTTGAGGTCTCGTACTTTCGCACGCGGTTTGAGATGTCAGGGCCGGCCTGAAGGCAGTGCACTCGCACACGGCCCCACGCTTTTTGAGGCGCCTCGTCGAGTCGCAATCGCAGCGCGTGTTTATTTTCTTACTAGGGAAATGTGTTCATAGAGATTTACCTACGCACGGACTCCCCGTAACATTGACCGCAAAGGGCCTCGGTATTTGTTTTTAAAACCGGCGGTAGATATTGTACGCCGCACTAAACGCGCGAAGAAAAACGATTACCGCGCACGGTCTTTTCTCTGCCGTAACAAATGATTAACAGTCTAAATTCTTATAGAACGTCCAATAATTACTGGAACGTATTTGTTGCGAAAATATCGAAATGTTATTTTAGTAGTCACGTAACAATTAAGTATACGCACCGACAAACCAAATAAGTATACAGACGCATAATATTATGTTACGATGCCGGCGCGCAGCGTGGGGAGTGCCCACGTGAACACGACTCCGTGATATTTCAGCGTACCTACACCGTAAACGTAAAATAATACATCCGTTTTAGCTTCTTGTCGGAGATTAAACCGATATCGGTTTTACATTATTATGTCCGGTGTTGTTGTTTCGTTTAACATTTACGTTTTGTTATCACGATAAATCGTTATCTTAACGGATTTGCCAGATTTTTCCGGTTCGATTTGTGGTTGTTTTTTTTTTTTTTTTTTTTTCTGAAAATCGAAATGCGTAAAATAATAATATTACGCCCGATAATATGGTACGCCTGGGTGGGTATATAGCTTCGTTTCGCCTGTTTCGGAATTGAGGATAATAAGCACTGCGCACTTGGGCATTCTCGACTACCACACGTTTTGTTGTTACAATGATAATTCGACAAACAATTTTTCGCCATAAAAACCGGAAATTATTGATCCGCATTATCGTGTCTGTTGTGTTGTGTGTTTAATTTTAATATTAATCTTTTTCCCGCTACTTTTGCGGACACTTTTAGCGGCTTCTCCTGTGGACCAAACGAGCTCCGGTCTCGAGAATTGGAGTTATTTTAACAAACAAGCGGATTGAAGTAATACAATTCGGGTTCAAAACTAGAATACCCGTCATATTCTTGCGGAAGAAGGATGTTTTTAGCTTAATGCTAAAAACATGAGTACTAAGTACTAAGAGTGTTTAATACACTCTTACAGAAACTGGAAACAAAGCGAGGCGGATGCAATTCTGTACATGTACGACGTGATATGTTGATGCCTTTTGGGGAGTTACAGCTTTCAATTCTCATTCTTACCATTTTCATGCTAAAATTTCATTATTTTTTTGGGGAAATAGAAAATTTATATTATTCGGTTGTTTATTGTTTCGCAAAAATTATTTCTATAATACTAAATACACGGAGAGGTTAGGTTGACTTTAGAGTGACAAATATTAATTTTAGTCCGAAATAACGGCGATTTTTTATCTTTTAGATTCCGAGCGAAGCTAGGGAACTATTGGTTTTTTCAATGATGTTTATTTCTTCTATTTTTTATTCTTTGTTCTAATCTGTGGACAAGTAATTTGCTCCGATTTTTACACGTAGCAGCTTCTCTAAAAGCTCAAGTTGTCTAGATTGTACTTTAGAGTACAATACTTTAGGTCATTTTGATTTTCGACGCCATTTATTAAATAAAAACACCTAAGTGGGAAAAACGTAGGAAAATGTACAATTTACACGTTTTCATTATTTTATAAGAACACGGACGACGTTTTCTTCCAGAAAAAAAGATTTAATCGAAAAATTACAAGAAATCTTCTTTTTTTTTTTTTGCTTTTTGATTTACTTTCTTACGGTATAATTGCCAAAACTTTTGAGCTTTTAAGGAATTTTAATTTTTGGGATTTGTTTGCTGTAATTCGGTCATAAATACATGTAGAGACTTGAAACTTGGTAATAATACTTATATTGGCCTTACCTAGACTTGGTAAAATCTCTAAAATGATCGGACGACTTTTTTTTTAATAAGCGTTTTGAAATCAAATTTAAACAAAAATCGCGAGAAAAAAAAACGGTACTTCAAATTATGTATTACCGAACTGCGCTCGGAATCGTCTTTCGTCAAGCAACGGTTTATAGTTGCTTATAGATATGAATGAAATAACCTTATGTATCCTACCTTCCCAACTTCTCACTGACAACAGTGGCTGATCTTATCACCAGTATCGCCTCTATTTTATCTTTTAAATTTAAATTTAATTGAATTCGAACTGTGTATACATGAATTTATTTCTAAATGCAGAAATGGTACATGTTAAAATTGTACAATTTGTCCATAAAGCATCTAGAATTGTATAACATTTCATAAAAATTATCATAGAAACTTACAGACAATATTCAACGTTGTAACATTATTTATATTAACATGAAATTTGATTTTCAATTTTTTTTAGAAATATTAAGTACACTGCTATAGTCTTTCTTGAACAATTTTAAAATAGTAATAGTTACGCTTTCTGTGTTCAGTAATTCATAAGTACTATTAATGTCACATGAAATTTAAAACGGTTTGAGGACGTCTTCTAAAATTTTTTGAACTGAAATTTGAACAATAACAGCAGTGACGTATTTATGGTGAGAGATTGGAGAGACGCATCTTCTCCATTTGCCTTGTTTCAGTATTTATTATTTATATGACAACCTATTTTTTAAATTCAAATTTCTTTACTTTTTAGTAAGAAAAATCAAAAATGTGTTTGTTCCTAGTAAGTGTATGTATCGAAAATATTCGAACGTTTACAATACATTTACGTATATAATTATATACATTTTTAATAAATTAATAATAATTTATTACTGTTATACCTAATGGTGATTTTTGGCCAGATTGAATTATAAATTACTCATAAAAATGTCCACATTAAAATATTACCTTTTTTTTTTCTTTGAAGTGTCCACGCGTTATACAACATGGCAAATTCCCAAATTCAATATTACTCCCACCTTGCCAAAATCCGAAATACGCCATTGACTGTACCGTTACTACTCGCCGCGTGTTTTGTACAAACGATTTTATTTTCGCTTTTGTTTTGTCCGTTTATGCAATTATTTACGACTTCATTGGGTTATTATTTTTAAATTTTTTTTTTATCTCGATCATATTATATTGGCATTAGGTATCCAGTAGGTAGTGTACTGCAATACAATATATTATTACGTATATACCAACCCATACTACACCGGTCTACAAAAATAATCTCATTAAACGTAACGTATTTAATTTCTATTCGCAGACGTTTTTTTTTTTTTTTTGTGTGTACACGTTGTCAATACAAACGCGCAAAACCGTACGGTCTGAGCGTATATTACGAAAATTGATTTTTTTTAAATTTTTTTTTTAATGCACTACACGCGTGCGTTCGCTTCACGGTGGCCTGCGAGTACTGACCGCCAAATGTCAATAAATCGTCATTAATTAAGTGACGTAGTACGTATAAGTATATGTGTAAAAGGGGAACCGATACCGATCATCGGGTTTTTTAATGTTTTATTTTTTGTATTCTCGAATGGGAAAAAAAAAAAGAAGCTAATGAACACGTGTATTATAGATACGCGAGTATTTTCTAATCAACAGCAATAATAATATTATTACATCGGTGTGGAATGGTGGGAAACTATAGCGTCTGTATATAATACGCGCTCAAACGATTTTTATTACTTTCTCCGTGACACGCGGTGTAAGATTTGGAATTAAGATACCGACCGGCTCTTGACGCATTGACATTTTTGAAAAACTATCGCATATAATGCATACAATCGACCGCAAAATAAAACGAAAACGAATCCGAATCACAAGGAATAATTTTCGAGATAGTAATCATCGATGTCGCGATAAATTAAGTGGAAACGAAATCAGTAACTATTATAATATTATGTTTATGTGTATTATTAAATTATTTTGCATCTTTAAATTATTCGATACCGAACCTATTTTATGCTTTAAAAAAAATATATGTATCTCATATACTAGCCGATTCATCGGGCTTCGCCGGAATCACATAATGTTTTTTTTTCAGGACGAATGGAACATATTTTAAAATTTAAACTTATGAAAAGATTTTATTGACAAATTTGATAATTTCGAATTGAGGTTGAAAAACAATTCGACACAGATACTAACAGTAGTTTTACATTTGAAATTCAAATTTATAGAGAGATTTTATTTTAAAATACTTTCTATTTTTCACACGAAGCTAGAAACACAGGTACTGATATTCTCGTTCGGCGTTTACCGGTCGCAATTTCGTTTCGTTATAGTTTGAGCTCTAGCGTATTCGCCGATTACTGTTCATACAAATTAATTACTTGATTGTTTATTAATTTTTAAAAGCGAAATTATGCTTAAAAAAACCCGCTCCAAGGTGTACACGAAAAAAAAAAAAAAATCAAGTCTATCAATAATTCAGCAGTTTCGGAGATTATCGGTAACCGACAAAGTACCATTTCGCATGTATATTATAAAAATTATAAATGCAATAACATAGAACGAGTGCGATAGTTCGATACCGCGTGCGACTATTCAACATAGTTGAACGACGGTTAATAAAGTCCGTATATGTATATAAAAAATGTATTTTAACGGGACATAAACGGCTTTGTTGTTTGTAACCGATAAATTGTAATATTATAATTCTGTGGCTCTGTGCAAAAGGACCAATGTCAATTTTTTGAAAAAAATCAGTTAAAAATGAAAAAAAAGAAAAAGAAACGTGTACGATTTAGCTTTTTCTAAAACGTAAAATTTGAAAACTACACAAACGTTTACGTTTATTAAAATACGCATAGCCTCGCGGGGAAATAATATTTCAAAGCCCGTTTCCCGACAATCACAAAACGCGACGTGTGGCCCTTCTTCTCACGCACCGGGCCGCGGCCTTTATATATTATTACGTTACGGACAAAGTGGAAAATGCGGACATCGTGCCGACGTAAGGCAAACACGTTCGGTTTCCAACGTATTCTGTTTTTCCCGCTTTGTCGTTCACCGTCCGTTGTGGTGTTTTGCAGGCGAACGGCGTCGGCGGCATTAACGTTACGACGTCGGACACGGCGACGGTGCAGGCGGCCGGTCCGGACCACATACAGCTCCCGAAACAGCTGCCGGCGCAATACCAGGAGATCGTGCGCTCGTGGCTGTTGCACAGGGCCTCGTGTCCGGTCGAGTTCACCTGGACGGACCTGGGCAAGTCGTTTTGGCCCCGGTGGATCAGGACAGGACGGTGCGGTCGATCGGAGACGCCGAGTTGCAGTTGGCCGCCCGGCATGTCGTGCATGCAGACGTCCGTCAGGGTCCTTAACCTGTTGAGGTGGCACTGTTGGTAGGCTTGCACTGTGCAACACGCGTTATAAACGTGTTACGGGAAAACGTCCGAATCGGACTAACGATCAGTAACGCCACAGAGCGAAACGCTCAAGTGCTCGCGATACTCGGGCGAAACGCCACGTCAACGGCTTTTGCCCGGTAAAACCTACGAGGTGGCGACCAACCTCGTTCGGGCAAAACCGTAGCGTTTGTAAATTCTAATTTTTCACGGTGCGTAGGTTCAAAATTATTACCGAGAACGGCGTGTGTTCGTAACGTTATTGCACCGTTATAGTACATTTTTGCCGTATTTTACATTCTGAGTGGAGCGAGGAGTGTATTGGTTTTTACAATGGTGTTTATTTTAATTTTTTTTTTTTTTTTGTACGCGAACACTTTTCCTACCAGAAATCATACTCCGATTATGAAGTATAGCGCATTTTCTGAAAGTTCCGAAAATCTGGTTCTTCAGGTTACAAAAAAATTGAAATATTAAAAATAAGACTGTCATTGGCAACCGTTTTTTATTTATTTTTTGTTATTATTATTTTTAAACAATCATTGTTGTCATAGAAACGCGCATTGTTTGTATTCGTTTTACCATAATATGGCATATACCATATATTGTATTGTTGACAAAGCCACACTATCAACTGAACTCCGCTCAGAATCGTTTTTTCGTTAACAATGGTTTATCGTTGCTTACAGATATACATTTAATTCCCGTCTGGATCCTATATTTCCAACTTCTCACTTACAACCGTGGCTGCGCTCACGTGAGAAGTATGACAGTCCTTTTTTTTTTTTATGTAATTAAATATATGTACTAACTTGTTCAGTTCTTAAATTTGATTACATTGGGACAACAGAATTTATTTGTCACTATTTTATAAATAATATTTAAAACAAACCTGAAACTTATCTACTGTGAAAAACCGATTTTTCAGACGCTACGGTTTCGCCCAAATAAGATTGGTTACTACTGGGTTTGCGCGGGCATTTCTGAAGTGTGCCCGATTTCGTCTTTTGTCCGTAACATTTATACGTGTACTATATTATTATATTTAATACAATACGATTATACTTGGTATAGTACGACTACACTGGTGGTGAATTTAAGATATTTTATTTGTTTAGCGAAATTGTTTTCTCTTCCTTTCTCTCTTATCCCTTTTCCTTTCGATCTACAACCCATCAAGAGAACCGTTATGGCTGTTATGCAAAAATACTATCCACTCATCTCAGTCCGGAGTACCTATATTCTTCCCGATTCGCTATACCTAAGTATATGATCCGTGTCTTCTACATTGTCCCTCCATCGTTTCCCATAGGCTTCTACTTGCCGGTCTTTTACCGGTTGAATACTATACAGTTAATGATCGACATCTTCATTACATCTGTGCTCTCTCAATGCATATTGCATGACTATTACAATTCTTGATTTTTACATCAGCGATGTTTCTTTTCGCAGCTAATTATTTATTAATTTATTTATTTCATAAATATATAGGTCAGCGTTGGCCTCACTACTACATCGCTGTGTATAGTTTAATTTTTTTTCGTTTCGATAGTAAAATTCATTTGAAACACTACTTTAGTTGGACACATAAAATGGATTCCCTGGTTTTTTGTATTCTGTTAACTATGTCTATACGTTTCGATTCAAATTAAACGTGTCGGCTATTTAAAAACTATACAGTTGCTTATTGAGAGTGACCTTGCTTCACTCGCAAGGAGAAATACTTGAAATTTCAAAATTCCTTTTCAATAAATACGATTAGAATATTAATACAATTGTAGAACGTACTGACGAATTTTTCGTCAAGGGAATCGGTATTTTAGTTGTTCTGAGTGATTTTGAATCCTGTTTATAAAAATTCTTCGTGTTGCATCCGCACTAATTCCTATAGTCGTTTTAAATATTTATGTATACATATATTGTACAGGTTAAAAAACAGGAAGAGCAAAAGGAAAAAGCAGGAACGTAAAACTGCTACGGCGTTGGCGGTCAACAATACAACTGCGACGGGAAGTCGTCGCGGAGGCGGGAACGGAAACGGAAAAAGAGCAGGGAAAAAAAAGAAAAACGACGACAAGTTCAGATGTCTGTGGATAAAAGTGCCGTATCCGGTGACGGAAGACTGTACATGTTCGTGTAGAAAATCCGACGAATAAACCGGCGATTCAAAATACGAGTATAACCTTGTTCGTAAATTAAATTAATTTTGAATCTGTTTTTTTTTTTTAATTTTTATTTATATCCTACTAAAACGGTGCTAAAAGTACAATAATATTTTGAAAATTCGAAAAATTATAATCAAAAATAATTGTATACGTATTTTTTCATTATTTTAAATTGTAGTTTTTTTACTTTTTTTTTTCGTTCATATATATATATTCGTATATTATACGTAAATAATTTTTGTTTGATAAAATTATCAATAGACTAGACTATAGATTATTATATACTTACGTGAATTAAAACGGATTGTAAACTTCGAACGTTTTTAACAAAATTAAAAAAAAAAAAAAAAGACCAGTAAAAAACATTACGAACACAAAATATACGTTCGGTATTTGAGACTTAGATATTTACACTACCTATGTCTACCTATAGATAAATTTAACTAATGTGTACGCTATCTTGGATAAGCGACATTTTTTTTTATCTATAGGCAAATATTTTATCTAAATTATTTTTGTGCAATTGAATACTTTCTGTTTAATGTTCATCAACTCCGAGAATAAGGATATTTTTCGAAACGACGAATAAACTTACCAGGAGAGAAGGTTCAACGTAGAAAATATCAATTTAAAATACGGTTTTTAAAGATATTACTTGTTTAAACAGAATTACACTTGAAGATCGTATCAATGATTCGAACGCATATCGAGTTTACCATTTTTTTTTTTACCTTTATTGTCTTCTATTGTCAACTTTGTGTGATCGGTCCCTCGTAATGTTGTTTTTGTACACAAATATTATAGTACGAAGGCCCGATCAAGATAGCGCTGAACATTCTCCGCATTTTTGGTGCGCAAATCAGTCAATAATTTGTTTAATTCAATTTTTACTCATTACTGTAGTTGTAAAAACATTTTTTTGTTATAAATATCTCTCTCTCTCTTTCTATCTATCTGTCTTTTATTCATATTATATATAAAAGCGAAAATGGAAATCTTTGTTACGGGTTGATTACTCATCTAATCATCATGCGGGTATTTTTTTTATTAAATGATCGAGTATACCGCGGAAAAGCCTATTTCCGCTTCTATAAGTTAATTAACAATCGAGTTGTTAATTTTTAAAACAATCGGCGAATACGCACGTAAAGGTACCTACAGATGTTATTTATTTGTTGTTATGGATTACCTTAGTAACACGGATGAAGTAAAAAAAAAAATTTAAAAGGTTGGTAACATGGACGAAAATAACTATGCGCTGTAGTCTGTACTACGTATCTATGATCAAAACGTATTTATGGTATTTTTCTTTTCTTTTATTGATTATTTGACATCGTTTGTTGGCTTTTAGCTCCACTCGATTTTGTTCTGGTCGATTATGATTGTGCGGACACATTTTTTGTGTTCATGAAAAAACGTCATAACAGAGCACTTTTACCCAAAGGTGGTGGTCTACTCACTTTCCATTTATTTGTTTTTATTCAATACTGGCATGGTCAACTTTAGCATGAAATTTCCTACAAAATTGACGCGTAATGTAAAATTTGATAAAAAATGTTCTTTTGTCCGATATCGTCCAATTGTCCGAGAGTTTACTTGAACGTGTTATTATTTTATTGTCAAAAAAAAAAAAAAATTGTATTATTTTCACTTCAAATTTTTAGGTACATTTATATACGTAATGTAGACGGAAAAAATAAACACCTGAAAGCGATTTCTGATACGACCAAATGTACGTTGTGCGCCCGTACGATTTACAAGGCGCAATAGCCGTATTATTATATTTCGGATTTTTTTTTTTATTTTTTTTTGCGACTGAAATAAATTTGAATTTCTCAAATCGGCTACAAGAACAGTACCTCGAACAAATGCTACTAATTGCTTCGAAATGTCGGAAGGAAAGGGAAAAAACGAATTGGAAAACTCGCCACACGCCAAAACGGTTTCTGTATTCAAAATCGTCGTATAATAGTGTAAAAAATTATTTTCAATATTACAATACAATCAATATTATCATATTTTTTTTTTTAAAAGACCAACATGTGCTAGGTCGGGTCCTAAGTTATTGTAAATAAATGAGAAAATAATATTTGCACTTGACAAATATTTTATTATTCCCGTATTGTTGAAAATTATTACAAAATCGAGTACGCACTCTGGCGTTGAAAATGTTACCTAGTTGAACTGGGCTTTTGTCACGCGTGCTGGCCGTCGGCATATTATTTGTTAAATATTATATTAACAATTGTTTTAATAATTGTGGTTAGTAATTTTCAGTTGGTCAATATCAAGCCGCGGTTCTTAATTTCTTATTAAAATCGGAAACATGAAAATTAAATAATGAATAGCATGTTGATAGTTAGTTAGACGAAGACGAAAACACTATTATGGCCTGTTTCAATACGCTGGTCCGCATCGTTGAGCGCGGAGAGCAGATTGGGAATTACCGTTGTATAACACTGACTGAGTACTGTAATTGTAATAATAATAAGCACATTTTTTTTGTGTTTAACGAATGTATAGTATTTATTGTATTGTACCCGAGTAATCAGGTTTATAACCAGGTAATAGCTGGTAGTAGTTTACTCGTATTATAAAAAAAAAAAAAAATAAATAAATAAATCAGCCTGGTTGGTCGGTTGTGTGGTTAAAAATTGTTCGTTTCGTTCCTGTGTAGGAAACTCATATGCGCCACTGTCACTCAATAATAAGTTACGCATTATATTACAATAATTTACGGACATTTATTCGTAATTGTATCGATTCTAGACCGCGTTAACTCCTCAAACGTGTATTGTTTACCAATAATGTAAAATCTTATTTCAATTTAGTGTATTTTTCGTGACAACTATACGCAATGGCTTTTCAAATAAATACCATTTCAAAATTGACCGGCTAATAACCGTGATGTTAATTAAAACGCGTTTCATTTATATATATATATATATATATATATATGAAGTTAATAAAATATGACGGATCAATCGAATATTTTTTAAACTTTTTCTGTTTTTCTTATATTTCCCCCCCCCAATTATTTAGAAAACTACAAGGAAAATAAAACGATAAACAGATTTTCACCATAATCCTTGACATCGTAATTATTAATTACGTATTATTTAATTGACTAGCAAGAATTATCACAAAATAGTTAAATTACGACACGAACGGTTGCACCACTTTTAACAGCGTTGTTAACTTTTTACGTCTTTCGCACTATTCCTGTTCTATAATATAATCGTAATATATATTTATGTCTTAGTCATGTCGTTCTGTCTTCGAACTAGGCGTATTTGTATCGGTGATTTTTGACGATAGGTATCGCAAATTGTAATTAAATACGAATTCGGCCAAGAACCCCGTTACCGCGTGTAGACGAGATGCAGAGGTCGGTGTTTTAAAGGTCTAGTAGAAATTCCGGATGGTAAACGACGGGCAAAGGTTCAAAACGCGTCTAAAAAGATGATAATATTATTATTATGGGCTAGTTCGTCTTGGCCTTGACGTAGACTATTGTAATAATTACTTCAAAAACATTTTTCCTTTTCCTTTATTTAATTGATTATATGACGTCAATCGACGAGAATCCGAAAGTTGAGAAAAAAAAAAAATTAAAATAATTATATTCTAAACACCTATGCCCTGAAATAATAATGCGCACACGCGGGTACTCCGACGCCCGTCGGCCTTTCGATCGTGTTTAATCACGTGCTACGTTAACTAGACAACAATAATATTAAAATAATAAATAATCGACGGCGAGTGCGTTTTCCCTCAAAAACAATTTAACATTCGTAGTTATCGTTCAGTCAGACGAATTAGAATATTATGTAGATTGTAGAATTTAACAGGAACGTTAAACGTTATGTTTTTCCCATTTATTGAGAAAACTTCTGGGACAATCAAAAAATGGCCTCTCTAAAATATCGCCCTGATTTCCGATTTCCTTTCAAAAAAAGTGCTATCAATGAAAATTGGAGCAAAATTTCTGGTAGAAAAGTTGTCCACAAAAAAAAAAAAATAAATAAATAAATAATCATCATTGAAAAACCATTCCTTTCCTAATCTTGTTTTCCGTTACTCGTTATACCTTTTGCTTTCGTGATTCAGACGTAGATCGTCCAATCGATATCCGTTTGGGAGGAATAAGCGTCGACGATGCAGGATTCGAAAAATCAAAGAATACCTCATATTTTATACCTATATGTCTTATAACATTGTTTGTTTAACGTATGTCTTATATCGCCCATGAATCGAAGTGTGCACAATATTGAATTCCTCGTCGGCAATTAAAATAAAAAATTTTCTCTACAACCACGAAAATAAATACGTAGTAGTTATCTACATACACACTCGTAGAATACATGCCATAGACATAATAAGAGTTTGCCCATGAAAACCCAGTAACTAATAGTATTTGTTTTTGTGTCCGTATATAATCAAGGTAACCCATAAATAAAAGCGATTATTTTATCGTCGTATCAAAAGTACCTAAAACCCGGTTTTTATGGGCGACGGTTTGATATATCAAAGTATTTCATAGATCTACTATGTCAGAAATCTTCACGGGAGTGGACTCAACAACTTCTCAAAGTTTTATGACGATCGGACAAACGATTTAGAAAGGCATAATAGACATACAAACAAACATTAATTTTACATACATTATATACATGTAGAGATTTGTATTTTTGTTCCTGCAATTACAATCAATAACCATTGCATTATTTTAAATATGATGGCTGATGATTATAACAATTATTTTCTTAACCAATGATAGTATGACATGACTCATGGGGAGGATTGATCCCCTTTGTCTCCCCGTAAACACGCCACGGAAACTATTTGAAATGTTTACGGAAAGTCCGTTTTTTGCGAAGATCAAATGTACTCTTTCTGTATTTATAAAAAAGTTATCAACATATTAGAAAAAAAAAAAGACAAAAAAGAACTTTATTTATGTTGTAGTAAGTTCATTATGTAGATTTATTCATAGACCTTATATTATTTACTCGATAACTTTTATTAATTAAACGAAGATACCTTAAGTGATGGGAAACAGCTAGTGTAAAAATGTATTACCGTGACAATGGTATCAGCGATTTAAAAGTCTACTTTTAATG